AGTGGAATGACTGGCTTTATCTGGTCATGAGATTTTTTTTTTTTTTTTTTTTTTTGTCACTATATATTAGCTTATAATTTAAGATATTCTGATTGCTTACTTTCCTTAATAATGTAAATGTCATCTTAATGAATGTAAATTTATGAACATAGGGAATTAAATTGGTAATTATGCAAATCAGTCCAATAAATACTGTTTAAATATAGTTTCTTTGTGACAGATCCATACACCTGCCACACAGAGTGTTAAATTATCTTGCTAAGTAACTGTCTTGATTCCATAAAATCTCTATCCTTGTCATTGAGCAAAATATTTAGACCTTTGCACTAAAAGAACCTCTCGGTTTCCATGCCATTTCATGCTGTAATTTTTAAAATAATGAGGGTACACTTTTAGTTTTTAGAAACTATTTATTTATAACCATAGAATATATTATATTGCAGAGAACTGCAATCCCAGCATAGTTCTATTTTTGTATATATCCCAAAGTGTTGCCAATTACAAGTTGCTAAATATTAAATGCTTATGAATACAAAATATTAAATGCTTATGAATTGTGGCTGAGCAGCAATAATGGTTTCTTATCTTAGGTTATGTTTAACCTTCAACAAAGAAGTGCTGTACCAGTTTGTGAGTGCATTCTTTAGAGAACTTTTTTTAGGAAATGTGAAATAATACATATTAAAATAGCTTTAATATTTTCTTATCTGAAATTAGTCTGTGAAAATTGCCAGATTGCACCTTTAGACTTAGTCTAAACTTGGCAGCCTCAACAATAGGAACATTGTATATTTCCATGTATAAGCTGAGAATTTTTTGGAATTTTTTCTGGAGCTAAAGTATGGGGTTGGCATGTATAAGGATCTGCTTATCTCACAAAATATATAGAAATTTGGCAGCCTCAACAATAGGAACGTTACCTCATATATCCATGAATAAGCTGAGAATTTTTGGAACGTTTTCTGAAGCTAAATTATGGGTTTGGCTTATATAAGTATCTGCTGATCTCACAAAATATGTAGGTACTTTTCTGCTAGTGAGATGCAAGTGATATAAACATCGCACTTTTTTATTTCTTAAGTTTATGAAAAAAATTAATCTCAAAATGAAGCATTTCTCTTCCTACTTATCTTTCAAACAAAAAATTAAGTTGCTTAGATAATAATCATAGCATAGATACCACAAATCATGACTTTAAATAAATGTAATAGATGACTATAAACTGTATATGACTATAAATAAATGTAATAGATGTGCTAGCTTCAGGTGGAAATACCAGAGCTAAAACTATCATTGTTGGCATCTGACATTTTACTTGAAAATATTCTACCAATGGTAAATATTTCATCGTTTGTGAACATTTTTACCCTCATGGTGACATGTTGCCCTCATGACAACATCATGCTATTTGGCAACACTTTTACTCTCATGGTAACATGTTTGAAAGTTACAGGAAGTTTTGTTTCATTTCGGTGTATGTATGGGTTTTGAACTTTGAGCCAATTTTTGAAGAAAAAAACTCACTTTCAGCTTACACATGGGTTGGTTTATATTCGGAATACTTTTAAAATTGTCGAGTCTAAATTTTTTTACGTTTAAAACTGTTGAGTCTGTTGTGACATAAGACCATAATACAAAAGTAAAAAAAATGTTGTAACACAACTGAATGTAGCCATAACCAGTACCTTTATCAATTTCATAAAATAAATTGTTGATATTAATTGACAAAACAGTATTCCTAGACATACTGTTTCCTGAAGAATTTATTGATTGTTTGAGTTTTGGGAGACTTAGTAGTATGTTTGGTCAATTCATATAGTCTCTATTAAAGTAAGGGGGAAAAGAAGCAAAGGGCTACTTAGTCATTTTGTGGTTTGCCAGAACTAGTAGAAAAATTGAGGGATTTTTATCAGGCTCAGGATGACCTCCAGTTTCATTGAAACCTGTCTAAATAAAAAAATCTGTTTGTAATTCTAACAGGAGCAAGTGTAGCGATTTCAAGGAAGTGAGCCCGATGAAAGCTGTGAAACATTCCTAGAGATATCAAGTATGCTTTTCATAAAATCTCATACAAAGTACAACTACAGAACCTAATACTTTAACAGATTTCTTTTAAGATGCAGATATCCATAAAATATTAAATTTTCCAGAATGTATGAAATATATAATATTAAATTTTATATGCAAACAAATCATACGTTACAATATGTAAAATTATTTTAATGTAGCTGTAAGAAACTTGCTTAATATTCACAAAATCATCTGAAGCTGCTAGTTTGCCCAGATGAAAAAAGCTTTTGAGTACAAAGGGTTAACTTCTGTAGAAACACAGTTCCTTAAATTAAGTCCACTCGAGTATTCTAATGCAGAAATACCATATAAAAATTAGGTAAAGTTTGCTGATATCTTGGATTTAAAAAAAAGAGTCATTTCTATCCATATGTGCTGAATATTGGAAGAAAAGGGGAAGTTCTTTGCTCGTTATTGAAATAAAACTATTAGATCTTTTTTGTGTAAGCAGTGCCAGCTTCTAATGGAAATGGTTAACATTAAATTATCCATGATATTGTCAGTGAATTTCCAACAATCACAAACATTTATAAGATAAGTAATTCTCATATTAATTCTTTGTCACAGCTAAAATTAGTATCAATCCATTTAGTGCACAGAAAAAAAAAAGGAGAAATATGTGCATATAAAAGAATTATCATTAGAATGGCTAATGGCCCGCACAACACTACTAACTTTCAAATCTTAATTTATTAAAACCATCGAATACTGGTAGTGAATCCGAGGCTTGATTTGCAGTGATTGAGCTTGATTTTCATGATTATTTCCATAAAAACTTTATGGTTAACATGGTCTCATAACCCCCTGAAAAGAAATAGCCTTTCCTACCCAATAGCAGCTTCTTATATAAAGAACAGGTAAACTATTAATTTTGTATCTTGTTATTTTTCACACAAATTATTTATATAATAAGTCATTTTCATTGTAAAAGAATATATTTTATCCTTTGTGATGAAATTAAATAGACAAAACTTAACTCCTATTTTTAATAGTCCAACAGTAACATTTTCATTTTGGTAAGGTACCACATAAGCATTTTGTTTGGATGGGAAGAAGCTTAATTTAAGCATGTAAGTAATTTAGATTGATGGCCTACTTAGCAATTAACATATAATCAGATTAATGTATTGCAGTGTATATTATTGCTTTTCAGTTGTTTCTGACGACTCTGAACAATGTCAGCTGCTATTTAGAGTATTGGTAATATTTGTATGATTCATGGTCATTCTTTCCTACCATTAACAACAAATTCTTTTTGCAGCAGTTGCAGCAAATTTTTTATGGTTGCATGCAGTAGTATTGCTATGCAACTATAAAAAATTTCATCTCTTATAGCATTTTCAACTATCTGCAAGCATTCTCATATTTTTTTTCACTAAAAACTATTTTGAAAATACCTGAGGAACAATTTTACATACCTGTCCATGACTTGAAACTGCTGGGAATCTATTTCTATTTCTATTTGGTAGATTCAGGATTCCATGTAAGAAGTTTTCTGTTTATTTATTTGTGTCAACGATTGGTTTACGTTACATCTTTTGACCATTAAAAAACATGCAAGACAAATGAAATGCTACATGTTTTCAGATGAATTTGGACAAAAGCTTCTGATTAAATATGTTAACAACTAGTTTTAAGTACACATTGTATAACTATTGTTGTTTAACTAATGTGAATATATATATATATCTATCACTTGGTGACAAGTTTACTGTTATGTAATGAGAAATTAAAATAGCACTTGATGCAGTGATTCTAAATTTCTAATATTGCATTTACTCACAAATTTTCACCTATTTCTTCAGTAATTTTATCATACCAAAATTCAGAGGGAAAAATTATGCAAATAAATTAATTTCTGAAAGATGCGCGGGTACAGCAAAAACATGACAAATAGAACATCATGGATAAACTATTGGTAATTATCACAGTATTATTTATTTAAAATAAACCAACATTCCAGTAAAATTACATTGACAGTATCTAATGAGATATCTTCATTTTTACTTCCTATATGTTGAATCTTGCACTCTTTCATTGTCGTTCACTGCTATACCGTAGGCCTTAAATCATTTAATGCTGCTTTATGTTTGTTTCATCTATTAGAGGCACCTTCACCATTCAGTTTATCTTCCCACAAGCAGTGATCTTCAGTATCATCATGAGCATTAGCTATCCCATTTTGTGTTTTAATTTATCTCACTTGTCTGACAGTAACATCACAATAAGCCAAAGAAATTCATCATGGTAAGGACAGCAAGATTGAGCCTGTCGTTGGCAAGACCTTTGAGCACCATACAAGTGTCAGTATGACTTCACTCAGTTTTGCTACCAATTTTGATCTCCCACTACTCTTTCCCTACCACCAACCTCACAAGAGACCCTTCGGCTCACGTAGAGTGCTCCCGTGCTGCAAAGACACTATACATTTAAAAACATCCGTGCCTTCTCTGGGATTTGAACCTGGGCCCTTCAGTGCTGCTGTAGGCTTCCCTAACCACTATACCATTTGGGCAGTCCCGTTTTCTTGAAGCTCTTTAGTAATATTACTTCATCAATCAGAGCCTATGCTCCCAAAACCCATAAGCAAATCATTCTTAAATATAAGGAAGTTCGCTTTCTGAATGCCTTGATGAATAAGAACTTCCGCGAAAACTTAAAAACATTTTCATAGCTTTCTGCCGAAACGCTAGAGAGAAAAATATGCAAGTAAATATGGTATTAATTGATAACTTCATATTATAGTTTCTTTAATCTATTATATGTTTTTGTTATTGTATGTGACCTAATTTTCAGGATATGTTTTATCCAAACCTTTATCTGTCTGACCCTGTTCATAACACATTAGAAACTTTTAATCTGTTCATAACACATTAGAAACTTCTAATCCTTCTTTCACAGCTGATTTTTTCACTTCTTTTTTTATTAAGAGGAGTGCTGATTGGAAAAATGAAGAAACTCTGTTTGGTTCAGGATTGAAAGTTTGCCCACTGAATGCAAAAGTATGTGCACTTTTTCTGATTTACAAAGGAAACTGCTGTCTATGTATTTAATAATGTGTATAAAAAATGTGTTATAAAAAGGTTGTATTTTAGTTTATAACAAATTCAATAAATTCATTTGAGTGGTGTGAATTCAGTATTCATTTTTTTATGCGGTACATTGTACAAAACTGTTAGTTTTATAGAAATATTTTACTATTGACTAAACTATGTTTCTTAGCAAATCGTTTTGCCTTTATTCAGTAATTAAAATGTAGTTCTCTTCATGTGATTCATATGTAAATGATCTTTTTAATTTCTCTTTAAATTCTGCATATTTAAATGCAGGTTTTAGCATCATAGAAAATATTGCTCTGAATAAAATATCTGGGTTAAAACATTCTTTAATATGAAATTTAATTTCCCAAAGTAGCATACATGAAGCAACTTGAAAGAAACGTAGGATTTCATATAATGAAGAATTATTGTATTTCTTCCAGTTTGAGTTAAATTATTGAACATTTCTCTGTTTGGGAGTAGAACTTTGGCAGTATCTTATATTTTATTGATGTCAATTAAATTTAAAAATTTATTTTTATTTAGAAAGTAGTTCATGGGAAATTTATTATTTGATGTTTATTGTCATTATATCTTTCAGAGTGTAGAATTATCTGTATCATCTTTATTGCTTTTTAATTGCATACTGCACAAAATTTAAACTATGATTATTGTTTACTTTTGGGTTCATAATCATGCTTTTGACAGGTTCACTATAATATCGCTAAGAATGCTGCCGACGGTGGTGATAGGGAAACTGCTATCAGAGGTTATCAAGAAGCTATAAGGTTTGTGTATTGAAAATTTTGGTGTCATCCATAAAGTTTTATAATTTATACTGTTTTATTTAGTGATGTGTTGTTTTTCAGAATGTTACTGTTTCTTTTTTCAGAGTTTGTGTATTGTTTCAAAATATGCAAACTTTACAGGATGGTTAAATTATAGTTTTACTTCCAATCTGAAGAGAAATATCTTCAAAAAAATACAAGTTATAATTGTTATGCTCACAGCAATGTTTTCAAGTTCAAATATTTACAAATATTTAATGATTAAAACTCAGATTAAAGTAATGACTAAAATATCATTTAAAGAAATATCTTATAAAATGATTGTAACTGATATCAGAACGGTTATTAAAATTTTATTAATATGTATTTACTAAAAGTAGTAAATTTAATACATTAATTCAGTTTGCTGTAATTTAGATAAATAGTATATTAATTTTTTTATAAATTTAAAGACCCTAAAAAATCTCTCATTTCTTCATTATGAATCAAGACTATTTTTCCCTTCTTGTGCACAATTACAACTGGTCATTAAACAACTTTTATTAAATACATTTTTTGGATGTAGAAGTGTATTTTCTTCTTTTAAAAACTGTATGTTACCCCCTTTTTCCTTCATTTGGGATTCTTGTCAAAGTTATGGAATTTATGAATATTTGATAGTAAATGCAAAATGTTAGATATATATTCAACTAATTTATTGAAGAAATTTTACCAGTTGAATCACTGCATTTGCTTTATCACACCTGTATTTAATGGTGCAATTAATAATAATCCATTTAAAATTCAACTGAGATTCTATGCTCCCAGACTTTGTTGCTATCTTTAGAACAGGATATTCTATAGCTGTAAGATAAAAATGAATTTTTACCATCTTACTGTTGCAAAATTCATGTTGCAACAATTTCAGCAAATGACCATGTTTGACTTTCAAAATTTTTTATAATAAAAAAAATTGTTTCCATAATTTATTCTCTGTGTATCTGTGTTTCCATAATTTATTCTGTGTGTATCTGTGTTTCCATAATTTATTCTGTATGTATCTGTGTTTCCATAATTTATTGTGCTGTGCAACTGCTCAAATTTTATATAATGCACTTCACAGTATGGAAAGCAGTCACATTCCAAAAATGTAGTGTTTACAACCGTTTCTTTAAAATAATTTTTTCCCTAGAATTGAGATATCTCTTACAGTGGTAAAGCAAACTCATAGTTTTTCAGCAACTGTGAGTTTTCTTTCACAGTTTTTCAGCAAACAATATGTTCATTCTCCAGTTCTGATGATAAAATCACTCAACTGGACACTTCTAGTGGGAGTAAAAATATTTTAATATTCATTAAAACATTAGTTATCGTGCAGTCTGTCCACAATATGGGCAAATAGCCGTAATGTGTCAAAAGAAACTGAAAAATTTTCTGAGCATATGAAAGACTTGGAAGTGTCAGATTGTTACACATCAAATGTCAGATTTGTTACTAAAACTTCAGGTAGTGATAACTCCATTAAATTCGATTTCATTAATCAAAACATGCACCATTAGGTTCACTATTCTTCCTGTAATGAAATACATATACCTGCATGCTAGCTTCATAGAAGTCTAAAGTTCTGCCCTCAAGAAGTTCTTTAAAATCATTTCTGACTTTTCCTGGATTGTTCAACTCTTCTGTGAAAAACGATCAAAATAAAATGTAAAAAATGTAGGTTGACAAAAGGTCTGCTGAATATGGATCTGAAATATCTGTAATCCATAATTTCTGCTGTATTTCTTCCGAGTGGTTGCAGTACTTCTGAGCATTATTTATTTTACCACATTTTAAGAAGGGAAACCACCTGCTAACCACAAAGCAGTGTCTGTTAACTTAATTGTCATGTATTTTAGCTGAAAGCTCAGTGTAATTTGTCATCATGTAGACACTGAGCATATCAGCAGCATATGATTATCTTATGAAAACTGCATTTTGTCACACATAACTATTCTGATGTAAAACACATTAACATTCTGCAAGAACAGCGAGTGCAAACTTCCAGAAGATACATCAGATTTTTAGTGAATTCATAATTTAGGGAAACGATTAAATATTATATGCCCTTAGATCCATTTGTCCCCTCCATGGATGCAGTAAAATTCACATGTTTGTCAGACACTGTTCTATAGTCTAGAATGGGTTGCTATATTTGCAATTTTTCAATGTTTGTTTTGCTTTAACTTTAAATAACCTATATCCAATGTAGTATTTATTTAGAGCAAAATCTATGTCACGGTTATGTATCATTTACTATTTCTGATCAATCTCGGCAATAATTTGTGAATGTCTTCACACTTAATTTATATTTGCATATTTTCTTATTAGAAATTTGAAAATGAGAACAAAACTTTACAAAATGTAATAAATATAAACTAGCTTTGTAGGTCTGCAGTTTGTAAAGCAATTTTTGATAATCTGCTTTCATTAACAAATAGTAATGAATAATTTAATGAAATAATAATAATAAATTCATTAATAATATTCATTACTATTAGATGATTAGAATAAGGTTCAATACAATTAGATTTTGAGCTGAACTTACAGCAATCATAAAGCTGTAAATCTGCTTTGCTTTTTTCGATAATTTTGTTTATTATAATATAAAAAGAATATGTTTTGTTTATGTTAGCAGGGGGTAATCTACAACCTATACTTGCAATCCATTTTATAGCTGCAGCATGAAGTGAAGTCTGATGAGAATTTTTTTAAATGAGAAACGGGCTGATTACACGTGAAATTTTCCATCAAGAACGTAAATGCGAGCAATTTCCTCTTAAAAAGGTTTACACGAAAGCATCCATCCCCTTAAGCAAATAGTGTCCACGTGTTCCTTAATCCAATCCTAATTCTCATGCACTTAATAGTGAGTTCACATACACCTTATTACGGACAAAATAGCATTCCTGTCTTAAAAATTATATTTTTTATTAACTTGTTTGAATTCCCTTTATCTCTTGAGCGGTATAAGAATTTCTGCAAATTAAAACTGGCCGAAATTTTATGCAAAGTAACTTATGTTTTGATTCAATTTAGGATTTACATAAGCTTTAACCGCTTCCCTTACAAATTTTTTTGAAAAAAATCATCAAATTTTTTTATTTTATTATTAAATACAACAAAACGAAACGTCAAAATATGTAGGTTTTAAGTTGACTTTTTAATTTTTTGAAGGTGTAAAAGCATTTATTTTTAATATTAGTTTACTATCCCGAGTTATCTCGGGCAAACGAAAAAGTTAAATATTAGTCTTTGTATGATAGTTTTTGAAACAAGGCGACAACCCAAAGTGATACCTGACATTCTACACTGGTATATGGTCTCTTTTCTTACTGGCTTACCGCTGGAATCTCTTTCACGGGAAGCGCAGAGTACACTGTTCCGTTGGATTTGATTTTTTTTTTTGAATATTTTTTCCCCAACCTTTTCATAATCACTATCTGAAAAATCACCGCTTTCGCTATCTTCCATCATCACCATTATTTTATTTTTTTCCAACGCATGCATCTTTCTTTATACATTACTAATCCACAAGTCGACATATACTATACAATAGGGAAACACACGACCAGTCCCTCCAAAAGAACCGTGCAACCAACAAAATTTGGCAAACTGCCAATCAAAGCTAAATATTTCCTTTAATTTCCTCGTGGACTCGTGGACCATCCTTCAGTGTGTTCTTCCTCAAAATTAGGGCATAACAGTCCTTTGTTTCATTCCTTTTCTGTTGGTAGTGTTAGCTAGATATGGATGATTCAAGTGCTTTTGATTATTTTTTAATATGGCTGTATTTTGCATATTATATTCTTCCTTAAGAATGTCAAAATGCAAAATCTGATTTCTGGCTTGATTAAAGTATATATGTAAAATTTCTAATTCTACAGCAAGAAAAGTTGCTTAAATATATACAAAAACAAAATATACTCAATTCTAACTTTTAGCAAGCTGTTTAACTTGTGTAAGATTTTGAAATAGAATGGAATGAATTATTTTTCTTGTAAATTTAAATGTTATGCAATTTAATGTTGCTGACAAATGCTGACATTAGCTTAAAGAGAACCTCTAAAATTGCAGATTAAATCCTTTATATGATCAAGCAATGAATAACCTGGCAAATATACTCAAAGATCAAGGAAAGCTAATGGAAGCTGAAAAATTGTTACTATCTGCCATTAAAATAAGGTAATGACTTTCTTTGATCATCAAAATAATTAAAATTTATATTATGTATGTTTGAAATAGTGTTGAATAGAAAAATGTAATTATCATTAATATTTGTTTCATTTTGTTTCCTTTCCTAAGTATTTTATAAGTACTGAATTTCATGTAATTCACGATGGTGTACTTTATTCTTGCTTATTATTTTAGGCTTTTATTAAATTTAATGTTATTTTCTTTTTTATCTTTGATGTCTTATGTGTTAACTATATCCTATCTGTATATACTTGTGTTATACATATGTTTATTTTAATCTTACCTCGTCTTCCCTCCATCTTTCATATTTATTTATTTTTATTGCACAACATTTAAAAATGCATTAACAAAATTATTTTATAGCATGTAATTTTTTTTAATCCTACAGCAGATCTAGGCATGACTGCCATTAGTCTCTAACTGGCCGCACAATCCAGTTCAGAAACATTAAAACAGTACAATAATTTTTGACAGCATTAGCCATTGGCATGTCATTAAATCCAGAACAAGTGTCTAAATGGTCATCAAAACATGTCGTCAGTATTACATGGTGGGCAAGATGGAGAGTCTTCTAAACCTCTATGTAGGTGTTTCCTTAGGTAGTCGTGTCCAGTTTTTAATCTAAAATTATTGACACCGATATCTAGGTAGATCGCAAGGAATGGGATTCTCCATTAGGGAACTCTAAATCTTCTCCTTCATAGAGTCGCCATTCTTCTCTCAAAGATTAGCTCCACTGATTTTCTTAGAGCTGTGATAGCAAACAAGAGGATTGAGTTGAAGAAGCACATATCCAACCTTGGCCAGAGTGTCAGCAAACTCGTTACCCAGGATTCCACATTGACTTAGGATCCACTGCAGAGTAATATTACGACCATTATTTATTAGAAAATTTATCACAAGCTGATAGTTTAGATAAAAACCTATTTTTTTTAAAGTATGACTAGAAATTGCTTAAATCAATAAATATCCCAATGTCTGCTCATCTCTTTTACTGATTTCATTCAAGACCAGTTAGACAGCAGCTACATCAGCATCATAGTTGGTACAATTTGCACCAACAGCCTGCTAGAGCTAAAGTACCTAGAGAAAACTTCTGCATCAGCATTACTATTAGCACCTATAGCAGAACCATCGGTGTACACATGCAACCAGTGCATTGTTGGAAATCTTTTCTTAATAGTGGCAAAGCAGCCGTCCTCAACTCTGTCTCAGTATAGGATTTTTTACTGACTGGCAGAAACAAGTCTAAATTATAATTTGTTCAATGTCTTAGAAGTTCAAATGTCTTAGAAATTCACCATTCCCAAGTAGTGGCTGTCTGTTAAAAGAAGGAATATAAAATTAGTTGGACAGTTCATTTGTCACATGTAACAAGGTAGCTTAGGATTTCAACCTGTGCTCTGCGTGATTGTACATCTTCTAGAAATCACCACACTTCATCAATCTTTCAACCAACTTGAGAGCACTTATTTTCCTTCGATGAGTCAGAGGCTAAATATTTGCTTGTAATAGAATGGCTTGGATAGGTGTAGAAAATGCTCTGCCAGTGATGATTCTCAGGGCACTATTTTGAGTTGTTTCAACTTTGTTCTGTATTCACTCAGAAGCAATTATGAGAAGTTCACCACCATATTCGACAGCAGGCCTAAATTAAGATTTATAAGTTGTCCAGAGTAGAGCGTGGGTAGTACCCCCTTTACACTGGTAAGCCTTTTGAGCAATCTGTTTTTCATGTTGCCTATACCAAGCATCCTGCTGGCCTGTTTATTCCTACATAGCCTGGAATCCAAAACAATTTCCAGGTAAGTAGCTTCTTGAGTGCTGTGGATCTGTTGGTCTCCATAAAACAAGTTTATCACTTTAGGTTTGGTACTGAGGGTAAAAACGTGAAAGGCTGTTTTACTCATATTTACGATAATTTCATTGTTTTTTGACTAAGGGTGTCAATGGCAATGTTAGGCAACCATTGAATGGACTAGCTTTTTTTTTAGATAGAAGTGTTTTTAATCAATTATTTATGACATTTACTGGGTTAAAGAAATGTTTATTACAGCATGATCCCTGATTTTCCCTTTTCATCTGATTTTTACAAGTTCATCGCGGCATATTAATGCATTATTGACTTTATTAGTTTTTGTATTAAAATGTCTGATTTACAATTTACAAATGTTACTTTATATTAGATTTTGGGTTATTTAACCATTCATTTGTTCAGTCTAAGGTTGCTTTCATAGGGCCTAGTTTATCGAGAGTGTGCTGTGCTTAAACTCTGTCTTTACCTATTGAATATCAGATCTTCAGTGTGTCAAGTGATGTGAGCATATAAGAGAAAATGTCTTTAATTTCTTGCATCCTTGCCATTGGCAAGTGGTTGGAAGTAAGCCCCAATTAACATATTCTACTTCAGTTACAAATTACATTGAATATTTTTATTTCAGGTTTAAGATACAGAAACTAGGTGGTGGTCCAGAGTAAGAAATGCTCAAAAGTAAACTATACACTATACAAATCTGAAATTCTTTGTGAGACTTCTGATATTTTGGACCTGTATTCTAATTTTTGCTCAACAGCATATGAAGTGTCTTTTAATTAATTACAAACTAACCTAATATAATCTCTGGCTACTTACAGTCAGTTCATCATATTATAATGTATGAAACATAGATACGGATGCATTTTAAGGGGGAGGGAAATGTTTTATATTTATTTTGCTACACATTCAAAATAAGTATAGTGTATAAAAGGTGGAAGCTACCTTCAGCCAGTCTTTTGAAATCTTTGTAATGAAGCCATAAGTAACTATTGCCAAACACAACTGTAAAGCAGATTCATTGCAGACATATTTGCATAAACTTTAGAAATTTTGCAGTTCAAAAATTCAGCTTTACGATTGCTCACAAGGTCTTAACCTTTTGAGGCTGAGGCTTTGGTAGCAGTAAAAGCTACCAAATGACGGGGAATCTTGAACCGAATGCTTTCGCCCCTTTAAGAAATCACTTCCTATTTGCAACAAAGATTCTTCTGTGTACTTTAATGGATTCTCAGAGGGGTGCATCTATGTCGCAAAAGGAAGACCTTTGAAAGAGATAAGGGGTTAAAACCCTAGGGACGTCAAATTTGACATTTCACCCCACTTTTCAGCCTAAAAAATGGGGAAAAACACATGGCCACTAAAGTAGACAGCCCTGTCTTTTCAAAGAGAGGACTCTATGGCCACTATGATGTCCATCCCATCTTTAAAAGGTTAATGAATCTTTGCAAATTCAAATAGGAACTGATGAAAACTTGAGTGTATTGCATAGTATTCAGTGATGAGGTAACTTTCCCTTCCAGTAAAATATTCTGTTATGGGTAGGCATGGGATTCAGAAAAACCGTTGCAAACTACTGCAGCATAACTGAATTCATCCAAGGGGAAAGATTTCAGTTTTAGTATTTTCAATTTCACCTCAATATTTGCATATTCTTGAAGGATATGTTATTAAAATATTGGACAGGTAATAAATAGGCTACTTTGCTGTCCAAATCTCTTTCACAGGGACTTCTTCCTGTAGGGTTGTGTAAATCACTGCATGTGACAAACCTTCCATTGGGCACTTAAGAACTGAAATAAAAAAAAAAAAAGACAGCATCTGTTAAGCTGATTAAGGAAAATATGTTGGAAAGAATGTGGAATGAGTTGGCTTTCAGATTAGATGTTTATTGCATCATGAAAGAAGTTCACATTGAATCATCTCTAAAATGAATAAAACTAAAACTTTTTGTTTGCAATACTTCTAATTGCAATCTTTAGTTCCTAGTGCTGTTAAATATTTAAAGTTCTGTCACTCATATGAGGCCTTGTAGTTATCAACATGAAATGAAATGCATATATATATATATAAAAGATAATCAAGTCTTTTAAAGTTCTTAACTTCAAATGTATATTTGTTCTCTAAAATCTGAACTGTTTCAGGCCTGATTTTGCTGCTGCATGGATGAATCTTGGAATAGTACAGTCAAGTTTAAAGAAAATGAATGATGCAGAAAGAAGTTACTTAATGGCTCTACGATATCGAAAACGTTACCCTGACTGTTATTATAATTTAGGAAATTTGGTCTGTTTTTATACTTTCATGTTCCTTTAAGTTTTAAATAGATTTAAGTTGTAGAATTTTCTGTGAATCTTTTCTTTTTTTTTTCCTCTTAAAGGAGAAGGTATCGTAATAGTATGTATTACAGTTAAATAATAAGGCTATTTTTTTAGAAATCTTAGAAAGCTGAGCGGTGAGAACTGCATTCCACGTTGAAAAGTAAATTATTATTTGAGCAGTCTTTTATACTAAGAATTAAATAGATGTTTTAAGGCATTGCAGGTGGCTACCATGTATCCATGGCAAAAAAGACTTATCTCTGAAGATGAGTGTCACATATGCATATTTTCATGTAGAACATGTGTATTTTATTTAATAATTGACATTCCTCCTACTAAGCTGGATACACTGTATTCCCCCCTTTGGGTAAATAAACTTTTTGTTTAATTTAATGATAAGCAGGAGCATATCTTTGTTATGTAAACAAAAGGTTGATTTCTAGTCTCCAAAACACTGAAGTATAAACCTCTTATTTGAGGGCAGGTGTAATTTTTCCAGTGCTATTTGTGTTTTTCAATATTCCTTTGTTTCGCTATTTTTAATAGTGTATTTTTTCACTCATATTATATTGTGTTGAATATCAAAACTGATACATCAAACTAAAAATATGGGTGAAAAATGTTGTCTGTCCTAGGAAGAAATTTTATTTTTGCTACAACAATGAAACAGTAATGAAAGCAGGATAGAGATGAAGGTCCATGAAGTTTATATATATAATATATATATATAGAGAGAGAGAGAGATACTGAGCTGCTTCAAGAGTAAATTTTGATGTTAATAACTTGAGTTAGATTGTGCATATCTATAAAGCAAATAATATAGTATTCATTTTTCATTTTGTCTGTTATGTGGTACTGAAAGTTTTATGCTACATAAATAAAGTAAGTAATTAGGCTGTAAGGAAAGGAAATTTATCATATTGAAACTGTTTTTGTTATGTTTATTTTGTATATTAGGCTTTTGGGAATAAATTAAACATTAGCCTTTAGGGTGAAATTCTTCGCAGCAGTCTCCATTTCTGTAGTTACAAAAACAAAACTGCTCTCTTCTCTGCAAAGCATTAATGCTGGTTTTACATAAGATGATTGAAAAATTGTTATTCTGAATGTGTTTATATTTTATGTGTTTATATAATGCTTTCTTACTGTGGTCAGTACATGTGCAACTATATCTGACTTGAAAGAAACTGTGTATGTGCTGATTTGCCCTTACCTCCTTTTTACTGAATTTGTCCTCTTTATCAAAAACTGCCTTTTAAAGAAAATATTTTATTCTGACATCGAAAACTGCTGCAAAGAATTGTGATCTGCTCTTACAGCCATATCAGAAGCAGACATCTATAGATTCATTCTTTCATTACCAGATTTTGCTCCTGCTTGATTATTCTTTCTTTCAATATCTGATCATGCTCCTTACTTTAACCCTTTCATATACATATGGGACAAATTCGCCCTGTACTTGTGTGCTTTAATGTTAAGTTATACAATTTTTCCACTTTTATACATAGACTCATTTTTAATTGGCACAGTGTGTATACCATTTAATGATTTTTCAAGTGTATATAACATTGAAATATTAGTAAAATTAACAAGTTCTGATATCCAGAATCATGAGGACTTCAGGAGCTCTAGATTTTGGAAATTTTTTAATTTTAGATGTAGGTCATCAATTTAAATCTAATCAGATGACATGCAGAAATTATAAAATAAAAAATGTCAAATGTTGTTTATGAAATAATGAAGCATTTATGATCTTAATGAAATCAAAATTTACAAGAAAAGCTCAATATTTGTTTGTTTTATTAAATATTTCTGTCAGTGTATGTTGTTTAAGCCATTTCATCCTTTGGGTGAATACCTTCTGTGTAATTTTATAGGCACACATAATTTCTTGTCATGTTACAAAGTACCACTGTTCAGGTCTTGTAATTGAAGAATCCAGATTTCCCACTAAATTATTGATTAAAATATTTTTATCCTTAAAACCTCTTTATCACTTTCTTTGCTATCCATAGCAGTATTTTCTAGATTTACAACCGTGCTACAGATTTCGCCGTCCGTTAGTTGATTGCTAATTAGGACAATGTCATCGCAATTGAGAACTTATATTATATCATCTTCCTGTATTATCACATATCCACATATCTTATTATACCATTAATTACATAATTACATTAATCCATTAATTACATTAATCCACATATCATATTCCATTAATTGGAAACTTTTGCCATCCATACCATTCAAAATCCACATCAAAATGTGGTTGTTTTACCTAATTTTTAAATCATTCTTTCTTAAATCTGAATTGCACCAATGCCATTTTCTCCCACTAAGGCTGTTATACGAGGGCTATCCAGAAAGTAGATTACGTTTTGGAATAAAAAAATAAACAAAGTATAGGAAACAAATTTTATTATATACATCAGAAAGCCATGGCTAAAATACTACTTTTCTACATAGTCACCAAACAAATTGAGGCACTTATCGTAGCGATGTACGAGCTTGGAAATTCCTTCGTCGAAAAAAAATTCGGCGCCTGCCGCCTTCAACCACTTGATTTTTGTGGTCCTCTGTCAAGATTTTTTGGAATCCATTTGCACAAAACTTGTGGTAACCAAGCTTTTCGCTGATGATGTTCGTGCAACAAACTTCGCGAAATTGTGGAAAACTCAAAGAAAGTTCCGTTATTGTGAAATTTCGATTTTCACGACTTTAGCATCGACTTTTTTCGAGAAGTTCGGCGGGCGGTCACATGCTGGGGTCTCCCACTTCGATCTTCGTCGTGAACATTGGTTCGGCCCATTTTGAAATCTTATGACCCCTGACGCACTCCACCTTCAGTGATAATGTTGTCCCCATACACTTCACGAAGCTGCCGATAGATTTCTATCGGTTTACAGTTTTTGCAGTCAGAAACCTTATTACTGAGCGCACCTCGCAGCTCGCGGGATTTTCAATTAACGCAGACATTTCAAACCGTCACAGTATCTTGAACGGAGCACAGCACGAACCTCCACTAGCACCGGCTAGATGCAGACTGAGCTGCGCAACGCTCTGACCCCAAGATGGCCGCGCTAGCCCCGCCCCTAGCGGACACAGACGGAAACGTAATCTACTTCCTGGATGGCCCTCGTAGAAAGAAATACCAAATATGCTTTAGCTTTGCTGATTCTGCTACAGCTTCAGAATTAGAAACTCTCTTTATTATAATCGAAAATTCAAACTTTAATTTTGATAAGATAGTTCTGATAATAATAGCCTGTAAAAAATAATAAGCTGGATCAAATTAGTTAAGGAAGAATGAAATTTGCTATTTAACTGATCTAATTTCTTTTGAGTTTAGTTCTTTCCCTCTTCTTGCTGTTATGCTAACAAAAGAAAACCAGTATTATCGACATCCCAAGGACCTCTTTTTACTTTAAAATTATCTTTGATATATTTATTGGACATGATTGTTAGTCATTTTATTTATATGAAGTTATTTATTGCTAATACAGTCATATGTAAGTTGGAGCAATTCAATATCTGAACTTTTGTAACAGTTCAATCTGAATTTATAAAATGACTAGAATTTTAAAACTTATTTTGGGCAGTTCCATTTAATTTTCTTTCTCATTAGAATAGAGAAATACCTAACACCACACATTTTGACACTTTCCGTGTCTAGAGAACTTGTAACACCTAGAAGTAAATAACAACATTAAATGCTTATTTATGCAGATTAAAATCGTAATTTTCAAACTACAACTTCCTGAAAAAAAAGTTAGTTTATTCATGTAGCTAAAGTATGTATTGTTTAAGATTTAAATAACTGCAATCCATTTTTAAAATAGCTAAAATTTGAAACCGAATAGTAAATATTTCAATAATTTCTGTATACAGTACAAAGTCCGTAATCCGGACTCATCAGGACTTTGGCAATTCCAGATTAAGGGTTTTTCCGGATTATAGATCATCAATTAAATCTGGTAAGATGGCATGCAGAAATTATACAATTAAAAATATGAAACCGTAATTTATGAAATAAAGAGCAATTATGATCTAAAGGGTATCAAAATTTAAAAAAAAGGCTTAATATTTATTTGTTTACTGTATAAAACATTTCTTTCAATGTAAGTTGTTTAAGTTGCTGCATTTTTTGTGTTAAACACGTATGCGTAAACATTAAACGCGCATGTGTAACATTAAACGTGCATGCTTAAATGCATTATGCGCATGTGTAAGCGTTTACGAATGCGCATACAAAAAAAAAGTTTGTGGCTTTGAGGTCCGGATTATAGATCATTCCGGATAATGGACGTCCAGAATACAGATTTTGTACTGTATTCATTATTTTTTATGTGAATACTAAATGTGTATAAAATTTCTTCTCTCATAGTACTTAGAATTAAAGCAGCATGATGATGCCTACAAAGCATGGCGCAATGCAACATCTTTGCAACCAACTCATCTTGTTGCTTGGAATAATATGGTTATTATGCTTGATAGCATAGGTAAGTTTTTCTTTTTTCTGTAACTGAAATAATCAGTATTCTACACTGACATTTCATTGAATTGTGTACTATTTATGTGTAAGAAAGAAGTCAGTGTCATGTGAACTTAATTGGGAATTGGTAACTGACTCTTAAATTCAGAACGTAGTAGTAAGTTGAAAACGCTGTTTCTATGCAAAATTAGGAATACTTTCAAAAGAGGAAATTATAATACAAGGAATGATTTTATATTGATTTGTCGCTTGGAACCATTATTTATTTCTGTGGATACTTCTATCAAAATTTTTTATCACCAACTCTGTTGAAATTTGCTAATATACAATGTATGTCAATGGTATATAAATTTGTGTGAGTTTTGAATCTCTGAACTGAGTTGTAGTTTGCTTTAAATTACTGTTAAATGCATTTTAGCCTTTTTTTATGATCTGAAATTAATTTAGTATTTTTTATTGCATTAATAATAAACATATTGGAATATAATGGCCTATTGAATGTGAAGTTAACATCAGAAGTTTTCTAGATTCTGCATCTTTTACAGATTATAGTGAATGGCTTAACCATAAGTTAGTCTTGTATGTTCTGTAATTATTATTCTATTGCAGTTGTTGGGTTAATCCTCTTAATGCGTATACTGCATCTGGCACTCTTCTCTTGTTGAAGTACAAAAATTAAAGATACTGTATGGAATGGAATATAATGTTCCTCATGTTCTCAAGTTGTAATATCAGATGCATGATTGGCTACATTTTTGGCTGATGATAGTTGATGAAATAAGCAGAGAATTCTCTATGTTATACTGTATAATTTATTGATTGTCCATAGTAGCTGCGGCAGTGATTGATTTATTTATCTCTAATGTGCATAAGAGTATTGATGTGCGCGTGAGTAATAGGTGCTTACATAATGATAACATTAAATAAAAAAGCAATCTTAATTGAGATAGACATATTGAGATAGATATCAATAATGAAATCTAATAAGGAAAAATAACATGGTTACATTATAATGGCTTAAGAAAGAGCATGGCCCTAACACACACTGGTACCGAAGGTTACTTATCCGGGTGAAGCACAAGACTAATGTGTAACACAGACTGCCAGAGAAAACTCATCTATCTCCATCATCCTGTAAGGTTGTCATACAGGTTTACTGTCTTTCCCCAAGGCCGTTTTCTCTCGTTTTTGAGTTTCTGTTGCTGCATACTCCCTCTACAGTGCCAACGAAATATGACATACCAATGCAGAGGTCATATCAGTCATCCAGAACGAGTGGTACAAATGTCCGAGGGCACACTCTCTTTTTTCACACTCTGGGAAACAACTTGAGAATAGTTCCATGGTTATAAAGGTGGGTTTCAGTCTTTCTATGGAGATGTTTGCTTAATCCCTTTTATTTCAAGATTGAGCATTTTATCTCGTCTTGCTAGCACTTTAAATGGTCCATCATAAGGAGCTTGGAGGAGTGGCTTTCTAACTGCATCTTGTCAAACAAACACATGCATGGTGTCGTTAAATCAAAGATGAACAAAACAGGTTCGCTTACCATGGCTGGAAGTCAGGGTCGGACAGACACTTTCAAAGGATTTTAAGTCCTCCATAAACTGCTTGGGAGACGCATCCATAGGTGTCAGATCAAAACAATTCTCCTGGAAGGCGAATAGTCTTGAAGTTCAGAAGTGGTTGCCTTTATGCCCTCTTTGAAAGTGGAGCAGAAACCCACCAGGGCATTGTAAGGGGCACCTCCCAATGACTGGTATCATATGCCAGGGTAGCTTTTAAAGGGTGATGAAACTCCTCGATAAGTCCATTTGTGTCTGGGTGGTATGGAGATATCCTGGGTGGTATCTTGATTCCCAATAACTGTGAATGGGCTCGAAATAAGCCACTTTCAAAATGTTTTGGTCAGCATGAATAACAGCCGGACAACCAAACTGAGTAATCCAGTAGTCGTAGAGCCTGTGCTACTGTGCATGCAGTTATGTCTGATATGGGTGCCGCTTTGGGCCATCTAGTAAACCTGTCTTATCATAGTTAAACAGTAATAATTATTCTGAGAAGAAAGTAGCGTACCAACGAGGTCAAGGTGGACGTGATCAAATCTCTGTGATTTATCTGGATACTTCATTAACGGTGTTCTGGTATACATGCTTACTTTTGCTTTCTGGCATGGAATGCACTATCGTGCCCAGTTTGCGCAATCTTTACAGATGGAAGACCAAACAAACTGAGAACATATTAACTTTGTTGATGCATGATGGCGGGGTGAGACAAATTGTGCAATGTTGCAAAAGCTTTCTCACGGAATGCCGTGTTAGAAATAAACTTTATTTTTATGATGTTTTATCTGCCAAAGCAATGCTATAATTATAGACTCTATGTTCCTTAATATTCATGTGTAGCTTTTTTTTGCTTTTTGCGGAATGGCAACAGTTAGTTAGTCAAGTAATTAAACATTTACATTTGTGGTTTGCTTATTTCTTTCTACTATATTTCAAAAATATATCTGCCATTTAAGTGATTTCTATCACGTTATCAGCACAATAGGCTCTAAAGAAGTTTATTTGCGGAAAATGAAGAAGACTCCATTTCCCAAGGAAAAAGCCGAACGTTCAACTAGATTACTTCAATTGATACATGGTGATGTAATTGGACCTATCACACCTACATCAAAAGGTGGATCAAAGTATGTTGTTACCTTTGTTAATGACTACTCAAGATATGCTGTGGTTAAAACTATGAAATCTAAAGATAAAGGCCCTTGAAAAATTCATAGAATATAAAACAAATGTTGAAAATTTCCATGGACTAAAAATTACTACTCTACGAAGTGACAATGGAGGAGAATATGTCAACAACGAATTTGATGATTTGATAACTAAAAATGGAATAACAAGACAACTCGCAGTTCCCTGGACACCACAACAAAATGGAGTTGCAGAAAAAATGAATAGATGTCTTCTCCTAGATTCCAACATCCCAGAAGAATTGTGTGTAGATGCTGTGACTACTGCCTGTTATTTGCACAAGTGTCCATCAAAGGCTACCAAAGAAAACATACCTGAAGAAATATGGACCAAGAAACCTGTGCAAATTAGTCACCTGAGAATATTTGGCTGTCGAGTTTTTGCTCAAATTAATAAAACGCTACAGAAAGGAATGGTAGGGAAGCGTGCTCAAGAGTGTATCTTTATAGGATATCCTGAAGGTGTGAAAGGATACAAACTATGGAATACAGAGGAAGATGAGTTTTAGTGAGCAAAAATGTTAAATTTGATGAGACTTTTTTTCCATTGAGGAGGAACCTACTCAAGCAAAGAAGGAAAATGAAGTGACCTTTAACTTAAAATCATGAGTACAATTCTGACAGTGAAGTAAATGTTGTTCCATTAGAAGTAGCCATCAGTTGCACCACCACAGGAGTCAAAGATGTTGAAACCCCATTAAATGACAAGACAAAGCAGAAGAAACTGAAGACACAGAATCAGCATTCCTGGAAGATTCTGATAGTAGTAAGGAAGACCCTATTGGAATCAGGAAAAGCACTAGAGAAAGGAGACCTAAGACTTACTATGGGGATCCAGTGTTATATAAAGCTGTTTGTGAAGAACAACCTGCCATCAAAATTTGTAAGAATCCAACAAGTGTAAAAGAAGCAATGATTTGACCAAATGCTGAATATGTGGGTGCTGACCTTGCTAGAAAGGAAGTTTTATGGATAAGGAGACTGTTGAAGTTCATCCCATGGCCTTCAGTTATAAAGTAGACAACCAAGCAGCTATGTTCATCACACAAAACCAAACTACATTTGAACGCAGTAAGCACATGGACATAAAGCATCACTTCATACGTGACTATACTGAACAAGGTGTGATTAAATTGGAAAACATAAATTCCGAGGAAAACCTAGCTGATCTTCTAACTAAAACATTTCAAAGACAGTGTTAACCAACTTGAGAAAATATTTAGTTTTTTCACAAGTAGGTCTCCCATGTGTAATATAAAACGTGCCCGTGTATGCTCATAAGTTTGTGTCACTTTTAAGTTTCTTTTACCAATTTTTTTTTATTGTTCAGTTATGAAGAGTTACTGAAAATTCCTTTTTTAAAAAAATCCCTCATTTTTTTAAGGTTGTATTTAATCAATTTAAGTGAAAGTTTTTTTAGGCATACTTTAGCAAGGAGGAGTGTTAGAAATAAACTTTATTTTATTTTTATGATGTTTTATCTGCCAAAGCAATGCTATAATTATAGACCCTATGTTCCTTAATATTCATGTGTAGCTCTTTTCTGTTTTTTGTGGAATGGCAACAGTTAGTTAGTGAAGTAAATAAACATGTAACGTACATTTGTGGTTTGCTTATTTCTTTCTACTATATTTTAAAAATATATCTGCCATTTAAGTGACTTCTATCATGCTGGGGGAATGTAAGGGCAGTGGTACCTGTTGACAAATCGCAGTATATCGGTAAGCTACAATTAGGTAAAATAATTTTGAGTTGTAAAGCTTTTGAATCTTTAAGTTAAATTTTTAATTCTAGATCACTTTGTCGCATTTTAGCAATTTCCTTATAGTCGATAGGGTTAAGCATGCTTATCGCTTCTGTGTGGGGGGGGAAAAGTGCAATATTTACCAAACCTTTTAAATGTTGAATTTTGCTGGTGAATTGTGAGATAAAATCTAACTGACTAGCCTGACAAATGCTGTCAAAATGCATACGTAAGCGGCTTGTGATCAGTGATTAAAGAAAAATTCCATACTTTCATCATATGTTTAAAATGCCTAATAGGAGCATAAGTTGCCAATAGCTCCCTATCATAAGCATTATAGTTCCTTTCTGCTTGTGAAAGCTTTCATGAAAAAATACGAGATGCTATAAATTTCCATAAACTAATTGTGATAGCGTTCCACCGATTCAGCTGGTGGAGTACAAATTGTTTTAATGGATATTCGTCAACGTTTTTGGATTTTAAGAGGATGCAAAACAGTTCAAAGAATAATCTC